CACCTAACTGGGCAATCTAAAAAGACAGAGTTCATAGCTTTGTAGTGTTATTGGGCCCCATGCTAACAGCAAACCATTCAAGCTGCTATCTGAATTTCATATTCTTTTCCTTCTGAATTGCTATCACCACACATCACTTTGTTGCACTTTTTCTGCGAATGACAGTTAGACATAGATCATGTATGATTACTAGTTTAACTGCCTTTTAACTAGACAAGCCCCGATAAATGCTATTCACACTCAGAAACATGCAGTCTCTCTGTCAAACACTAAATATTTTGATTATTTTCATACTTGTTAAGGTACAAAGGAGATGCCTATGGAAGGGATTTATTTAAAAACTAAATTCAAATGAGTGAGACAGTGTATAATACGGGAACACTAAAAAAATCAACAGTGAGCACACTTATTGTGCTAAGAAAGTCCCACTGATTATATATAGTACAATATGAAAGCATTAAAAAAAGCCAAATATGACTGGTAAGTTCTCCCTCTACTCTGGCAGTTTTTGAAACCTAAAAAGTTAACCTGAGCAGTTAAAACAGTTCAAAACCACTCATGCAACCAATTACCTTGCAGATCGAAAATTATTTAAAGTAAGACTACTAAAGCTGTAAGAATGTATCATCATATCCACTTTGATAGAAATGAAACTGATTTAAAGCTGCTAACCCCCACCTAAGATACAAAAAAAAAAAAAATTAATGAACTAAAGAAAGTGATTCAAAGGCACATAACACTAGCAACTATTGCAAGTTATATCTGTCACTGTACTTCCCCTTACTGTTACAAATAACCCAGGGGATAAATACTGTAAACACATTCTATTATAAAACCCTGTATATCTGTAAGTTTTTCTTCAAAATATAGAAGAATAGGTTTCCAAAGGCATGGAGATTATTAAAGACAACCAACAATAGTAAGGAAATTATAATTAGCAAAATTTGCAAGGTTAATATTTTTCTCCTCCCCCCTACCCCCAAGAATAAATTAGGTAAAAACAATCCCATCTAAATTATTGCTGTCTATTGGGAGACAAAATTAGTACTGAGATGTATAAAATTTTACTATAATTGAACCCTAAGGATTTTTTTTAATTACTTAAGTAATGAAAAAATGTAAAATTACATTGAACAAAGTGTTGAAATATTCTAACATGCATTTTGAAACTCTCACATTTAAACCACTTGTCATTAATATCCCCATTTTATATTTGTGGTTTTTAATAAGTTACAGCTTGATAAAATACTGAAGAACCAGTCAGAATTATAATTAAAGAGTACCAGGACAATAACTTGCACTCAACAAAGAAGAGTGTCTACATAAACAAATAAAAAAGCTATGAAAACCATTCAAAATCCAGAAGTATTTCCTTTTACAGAATCACTGATAAAAACACAAGAGAGTATTAGGATTTGAAAATCTTGAATCTGACAAATAAAAACTAATGATTTATCTATACAAGTTGATAAACTTCTTGAAGTACACATTCAAAAATTCAATTATATCATAGATTTGTGAATATTCACTCAACCGCTGTTAGAAATACACATCTCACCATAATTAACAATGAGAAAGACAGAGAAAGGTAGAAGCATTATGTACCCATAACTTATTAAAACATCTCTAGAGGTCTAATATACATTTAGGAAGAAACACAAGGGAGCACGGTAGTAAACTGGTCCCTGCATGAAAAAGGAAACTTATTGCAGGAAGTAAATTTAATGTGGCCACAAAAGTTGAATCACTTCAAAGTTTTGTTGCATGCATGGCATGCTAAGCAAATACCAAACTGACATTTAGAACATTTACACATTTAACAGCAGTGTTTGGCTGATTCATCAACAATTAAAAATATTTCAAATTTGTAAAGCTGTCAGATTGTATATTTACTTGAAACCAAATTAAAAAAATAGTCAGGTCCAATTGCAAAAAAACCCTCAATATCTGACTATTTTCTAAGAATAAAGGGAATTTTCATAGCTCTGCAAAATATCTTGCTACAGCAAACCACAAAATAAAGAGTTATTAGCTTACCATAATTGCAGCCAATTTTTTAAATAATGGGGTAATCCACTGTGGATTGCTGAAGGAAGTGTGACAAAGACTGTGAAATGAAGAGATGAATTTTATTTTAAACTAATTAGGCTCACTACCAGGAAAGTAACAAGTGATTTTTAAGTTTCCCAATGCTATAGGCAAACTTGCATTTACAACCCCTTCAGTCTGCTTATTAACTCCTTTAAACTGCCATTAAAATCAGTGCTTGAAGGAAAAACATTTACTGTTTGCATTTACAGGCTATCATCTCCATTTTCTATGCTAATGACAGAGTATACAAAAGGGATAATGATAACAATATGTTCGATTACTTAATCTCTTAATCTCTGTTGTCTTTGCCTCTAACTCATTTTTGGCAGAAAACAGATAGAAACAGGGTTTGAGAGACATTATACCTTTGTGCTGTGAACACAGCAAAGGCAATCCTTGCACACAATGGAATTGTTTAGCGTTCCTTGAAGCATCCTTTCTATGAATCAACATAACCTTACTATGGGCAAAAATCACAGGTGAAATTTTACGAGACAAAAGAAAAGATCTCAAAATTTTAAGCTTTACCTCAGAAGCCACCACAGAATTTTTCTATGGAGAGTCAACTACACTGACCAGCAATTTCACAAACAATAAAGGTATGAGTATGGAACAATGCAGCTATTTTATCTCTGGGTGCTTGCTTTAAGAGAAATTATTATAACATACACTAACTGATAAAATCTATGCAGCTATCTACCTAAATATTCAAACAGATTTTTCTGTAGTCTATGTATCACCAACAGGCTTATAAGCCACAAAATTCTTCCTAAGGCATAGTAGAGACCTTAGAGCCAGAAAGGACACAGATTGTTGTTCACCTTCCAGAAGTGAACTGTGGAACCCCCCAAAAAGAAACATGGGTAAAAAAAAAACAAACAAGATTAAGATTTGAAAATGCTCAGATTTGAATATGAAACCTGCTCAGATCTGAAAAAAATTAACATTTGTCCCCAAAACGCAAATTTTTTGGTATTCAGTTTTCTGAACATCAAGGAAACACAAACCCATCTCACTCAAGAATTATTATATCACAGAAGCAATAGGTTCTTAGTTTTGAGATACAGTATCTTCAAGAATATCCCACCCTTTAACATTCCACTCTTATTCATTTTTCTAATTTTCCTTCATGTTTTCTTGTTGTATTCGATTTATAGTTTTTATGTAAGATGAAAAAAGAAATAAATCAAAACAAAATAATAAAAAAACAAGCCAAAACATAAAACCAACTAAGCCCATCCATGTATACTTAAAGTACATTTGAAACAGGTTTTGCTGCTTTAGAAAACGTCTAAGTGATTGTTTGAGCTCTCCTAGCTGAACAGAAATTCTGAGTAAATTCCTCAGAAATGTCAGTAAGCTAGAACCATAGGGCAGATTTTTCAAGCACCCAGGTCCTACATATCTGGTTTCCCTAGCAAAATCTACCACATTGCACTAAGCCCTTAAGCTGCAATGGGACACATTTTCAGCATGCTGAAAATGGGATTATCAATTGCTTAGAAGTGGATCTTGAGCTACGAAAATATAAGGTAATGGGAAATATTGAGAACTAACTGTGATTTAACTCCCCTTTCTCTTAGGATTAGATGACTGCTTATGGATGTCAAAGAAATGTCCGCTTACAATTCCAATATGCAGCCCAGATGTCCTTGAATTACTATGCAGAAACATTTGAACAACCTTACAGACAAATTGCATACTGGAATCTCATTCTGTGAATTTCATAGATTACATATTAGATTACCCCTAAAATGTATGTGTGTTTAAGATCCCATTTTCTCTTGTCCAGCAATATGCCCAGCTGGCCAAGAAGGCCAATGGCATTCTGGCTTGTGTTAGCAACGGTGTGGCCAGCAGGACTAGGAAACAGATGTTCCCTGTCCTTGGCATGGGTAAGGGAGCACGTCAGATCCTCCTGTTCAGTTTTGGCCCTGCATCACAAGAAAGACATTAATAAGTGTCCAGAAAAGAGCAATGGAGCTGGTGAAGGGTCTGGAGCATAAGCCTTTAAAGGAATGGCTGAGGGAGCTGGGGTTGTTTAGGCTGGAGAAACAGTGGCTCAGGGGTGACCTTATTGCTCTTTACAACTACTCGAAAGGAGGGTGCAGCCAGGCAGGCGTTGGTCTCTTTTACCAGGCAACTAGTGATAAGACAAGAGGATATAGCTTCAAGCTGTGCCAGGAAAGGTTCACATTGGACATAGGAAGAATTTTCTCATAGGAAGGGTTGTCAAGCATTGGAATGGGCTGCCTAGGGAGGTGGTGGAGTCACCATCCATGCAGGTGTTCAAGAAATGACTGGATGCAGCACATAGTGCTAGGGTTTAGTGGACATGGCCATGTTTGGTTAAAGATGGGACTTGACGATTTGGAGGTCTTTTCCAACCTAAATGATTCTGTAATTCTGTCTCTCCATGTATTCCCTGCCATGAACACCTTCTTTCATTCTGGTGTTCATCAGGTTCTATTCTGAGTTGCTTCCCCTCTGGGAAAGATACCATGACTGAAGTCTTTTATAGACCTACATTCTCATATTCTTCCTATGTACTTGCAGTAGAGGAAAAAAAAAATCTTTTAAGGAGACAACAGAGTTGGAGTCAGTCCAGCTTCTCCAGTGAAGTGATTTAAGGGGTAAACACTTTTTCAGTAGTGTGAAATCTGAAGTCAGTACTCTTCCTTATCCTGAAAACATCAAAATCCACCTTCCTCATTACTAGAATGATGGAATTTCCCCATCAACTCAAACTTGCAACAATATAACAGAAAATATGAAGGACAATTCTAACTATGTTACATAATCCCACAGGTTCATAAGTGGGCCAATCTTTCCAGGAAAACAACAAACAAAAACCAAAACCCCTACCAAAAACCCAAACCAAAAATCAATTTGTCAATCTGAGTTTAAACACTTCAGAAAATTTTACTTGTATCACTTGTGTCACAGAAGTGTGACAGAAAAATTATGGTCAATCGTTCATAAATAAAACCATGTATAAGACTAGATGTCTAACACGTATAAGACATATGTAAACATGTATAAGACATACTCTGTATTGATGTTTACATTAAAAAATAACACTACTGTTAACAGTCTAAGAAATTAATATTTTATACCTTTAAAGGAACAAAAGCTTTTGAAATGCCAAATGAGATAAAAAGAACTAATGCTGATGAAAATTCTCTCTCGCTACCAGAGGCTTGTGGATTAACATGGGGAGCTATCATTGTTTGGAATTATAATCAAAAAGAGATAGTCTTACACACTGATAAATGCACTGTGTGGAATAATATCATGACTTTCTGCACAACTGATCTATAAAGGGTTATGACTGGTGCACATATACAAAATGTACATATTAGAGCTGACTAAGGATTTTGTTCAGTTGAATTGATATTACCACAAATCCCCTCTTCATCAGTTGCTGTTTGCACTGACATCCAAAATGTCTTTTGTAAGGACTCCCTACTTCTATCCAGCACTAGCATTTGCCAGAGTAGCATTTAGACATCTCTGAATACTGAGGGCCACTCAGCAAACAAAGACTGTCCCAAAAAGGGGCTAACCAAAGGAATCTATTATGACTGTAAATAAAATGACCAAAAAAATATTAATTACCTACACCATAGTTACTGGTGTACTTCTTTTTTCCATGTGGCCTTTCCAGTGCCTTTGCTGTCACTGCTTATCTTAGTTCATGTTTCCTCATTCAATATGCAATTATTTCCACCCACTACTTTACACAGGGCTATAAGAACTTTCAGAAGCTAAAAGCTTGACATGTTTCAAATCTTGTAGGTTGTTGTGTAGACAGATGCCAAGATTTCACTGAATCTATCTTTTCATTAAAAATTACATCTGCAGGTGGAATAGGCTTTACTGCCTAACAAATGAAAAAACCCACAATGTTTCATAAACCTAAAGTGAAATCTGAAAAAACAAATTGAGAGAACTACTTTATGATGCATGTGCAAGTTTTTAGACTCAAGGTTTAAAGTAAATCTGATGGGGGAAAAAGGAATTAATTTCTTAATTACAATCAAGAAACATATGGTACAAATATGATTAAATTCATTCACAGGCAAAAATAACGTCCAATTCCATAACTGCTCTGACACAATGTGCATTCTAAAAGTGAAGAAGACGAGGTATTTTATGATTTTCCTAATACTATTATTTTAATCCTCCTGATTGCCAAGAACGTGGTCTTACTAGCAAGCACTATGTTGTAACATATAGCACATCCATTATACTGGTGTTATTTTTCTTTAGTTTACATGGATGTGTTAGAACACTTGCATTCTTGGTTCCTCTAATATCAGCTTCAGAGAACGGCAAGAGAAGACCCATAAAGTAAAAGCCAAGGTGACAGCAATTTGGAAAAAATCCAAATGTTCCTAACTACAGCAAATTTGCCGGTACTGCTAAAGTCAATGATCATTGGCAGAATCAGATGTTCAGAGAAACTTCAATATGAAAAGTGTAAAAATCAAGTAAAATCTAGTAAACACTCTTTTTAAAAATTTTCCCTTTTAAAAATGACACAGCACTTCACAGTATTTCAATGTGGCAAATTCTCTGAAAATTAATTCTCTGAAAAGCCTGATGATTCTGCTTTTTGTGTGAAAGCAACATGGCCAGCACCTAAGCTGGTCTGTCATTTTCATACAGACACATATTGACAACACAGCAATTGACAAGGATATAGATACATATGGATAGAACACTAATTTTAAATGTCTAGGAGACCAGATTATCCTGAATGGTTAACATTTTACATTCCAAATGCAAAGTTAATACATTAAGGCTATTACAATTCTAGATGCTATAAAACAGTTTCAGTAGAACAGTCATGTAAATTGAAAAAAAACCCAGTGTCTCTTCAGACTGGAAACTAAGATAAATTTTGCCCCCAGATGAGAAATTCCTTATCTAGTCAATGCATCTGTCAGTCAAACTTGTTTCTTCCTAGATGCCTGTCTTTGAAAGAGCAGGGATATAGGTCATTGTAAAATGCTAGCAAAATGAGAAAGAAGTTCTTTACAGATGAGTCTTAAACTGTCTGGCAGTTTGTGTAATCTGAATTGTTCTGGTTATCTGTATTCTCCATTAGCAACAGAAATTCTAATTAAATTACAGAATGCAGGAAATGTATGGCCCTCACTGGAGCAATAGCTAGGTTTGTCTAGCACACAGTGGTTGAACTCATTTATCTGAAAAAACACAGAATAAAATTAACATGCTCTCCCCTGATCCACTGCTCTTGAGTACATCAAGAAAACTTGAAGATGCATAGCTTTGGTAACTGAATGCTTAGCATGGCTCTTCACAGATGTATCACACTCATGCCACAGAGGAAAGGACTCAAAGGTTTCTCCTTATGAATACATAGAGCCTATAGGCCTGTATAACATTGGACACTCAGGAAAATTAATTCTAATTAATTTGTAGAGTGAACTAGTTAAAAATCAAAATATTCCTTTGTCAATATTCTCACAAGAAATTAAGAGGCAAATTTAACTTAGTTTAGATTAATTAACTTCATTTGCAGCCCTGCAAGTATTTAACATCTTTAAGTGATCCCCTGTAAAACTCACACTTTTGGTAATTTAGTTAAATTTACCTGAGTATCTAAGTATAGACAAGACTTTAAAAAGGAAATGGTCATTAACTACCACTTCTCTGTAAAATATGAAGGATGTAACCTATCTAGCTTTTCTCATCACAGACATCCTCAGTTAATAAATAAAGGCTCTGATGCACTTAGCTGAACTGCAGTCTCACACGAATTCTGTTCAACTGGGGGAAAAAGGAGAGGGAAGTCCCTCTTTTTCTAGAGAAATGAATGAATTGAGTTATGATCAGGCACATATTACTGTTTCTGCCAAAAAAATTATACATAGGACATCAGAATAAACTTAAAATAACAGCAAAGCTTTATGAAATGTTCAATTTTTATATTTACACTATAATTAGTACAAAACTGCCTTTTAAGTTTTCTGTAGCACAAGACAGTATCTACCAGACTTGACACCCTAGTATGTCAAAACAACTACTTTGAAGTATGTTAAAGGAATCTAGGAATAGTTATAAAGAATAAGACACCATTTTCAAACTATACATAGTGTTTGCTTTTGATTCTAAAAAGGTATTTATATCCCCAAAAGGTTTTTAATTTTAAATAAGCGGGGCAGGCAGGGAGGGGGCAAGGGGGAAGACTGGTTGTTGATACTAAAACCTTTACTGTAGTAAACTAAATATATTTACAATTTATACAAATGTTTGACCTTCAACAAAAATATAAAAACATATCACAAGATGCAAAACCATGAAACAAGTTTATCTGAGACACTGTTGCTCTACACAGGACAGAATGCAACTTGAACTGCAAGGAACAGAAAGGTATTTATCCCCCATATTCAGGCAATGAAAAAAATTTGCACAAGGTCATAAATGAAAAAATAAAAGGCTGCAACATTCTTCAGTAGACTTGGCTTTTAAAAACTATGTCAAAAACCTAGGCTAAATCTGTCCATCTTGCCTCTGTGTTCCGTCTGGTCCATGTAGCCAGAACTTAGTTGCTGGATGTTGTCTTCTATTTTGAAAAATTGGAGTAGTTTCATGGCAAGGTCTGGAACCTCAACACTTTTGTTCCTTATAAAAGTCAAACCCCTTCTACTTCCACAATTAAGAACAATTTGGGCCAGTTCAACTTCTAAAAGTTATATCCCCATCATATTTTTCAGTAGATAACTTCATAGACTGTAGCTTTTTTGTCTCCAGAGCCAGTGACTATGTACTTATCATCCACAGAGATGTCACAACTAAGCACTGAAGAAGATTCTTTTGACTAGAAGAAAAATAGAAATATATTACATCATTAAAAAAAGTCTGTTACCCATTTTGGATAAATCACATAAATGAAGATATCTGAGTCCACTCTTGGGACTCTGGGTATTCTAACTTTTTCTTTAAAAGTGACATCACCCTCACCTGGAAGATACTGGCTCCGTAAGGAGTTCTCCATGCATTAAGAAGGTTATCCTTCCCAGTACTCACAAACCATTTACCTAGAATATAAACCAGAAGGACTATGAAAACATGAAATAGAACATCTGACAAATTTTGTGGTTTGAATTCTTATCAATGAAATCTGTTAACTAATTACCATTATAAAAGCTCTCACCACTAATCAAAATAATACTTTTGCTTACAATCAGTGTGGACACTCATGCTTTTGCAGTGCATTACATACTAGGAAATCCCTAGACTCTGTAAACAGAAATAGCTTTTTACACATGAATCAATCCTCACAGCAGCCTTTAGACAAACGGATGGCTGTTTGTAGATAAACGCATGTTAATTCATAAAGCAGAGATATTAATTCATTACTTAAACTGAGATACTAAATAAATTTTGATGATCAAATGAGCCATGGCTATATAATAATTAATCAGCAAAACACAAATTAGAGCCCTGATCTCCAGTTCTGTGTTCAGAGCAACTTACCACAGTAAGCAAACTTGAGTGACAATACACAACTCTCATGAAGGTGCAGCTGATATTTGTCCGGTTTATTTACATGTAGCACTTCTACATTGCTGCTCTCCATTCCCACAGCTAGCCATTCACCAGTAGGGCAATAACCAAGGGAAAATATCTGAAAATTATACCACATTTACATCTTTTATTAGAGAACTAAAGATAGTTATAGAAAACTATCTTTAGAGAACTAAAGATAGTATATAGAAGTAAAGATAGTTCTTTCTTCTGCAGTTAAAATTAATTGGGAGAGGGAGAGAGAGAAATAAGGGCAAATTCAAACAGTTCAACAGCAAGACTGCAGAATAACTCCTGTTCTTACCTATTAACTTAGGAAAAAAGAGCAGTGTCAGGCTATCATTTTGTTCTGGATTCTAAGCATATAAGAAAGCTTCAAAATATTGTGTTGTGAGCAGCCAAAAGGAAGAGAGGGAACAAGAGTGCCAATTGCACTGGGCTCAATCTCACCTCTCATCCTGTGTTTCCTTCTCACAGCACACAGTCCCCCAAGCTGAAGGAAAATCCTGTTACCTGTGATGTGAAGTCATGCTGTTGTAGCTGTCTCCCCTCTCTCAAGTCCCAGGATCTGACAGTGTTATCCAAACCGCCTGTCCAGAGCTTAGTACCATCATTAGAAATGTCAATACAGCTGGCTCCATCTGTGTGGCCCTGGAATTGCCTGATAAAAAAAACAGATTGAATAATTATTTCCTGCCAGAGCTCAAGGTAAACACTGTCGTAGTGTTAGTTTTGGACTCTGTACATGTGTGTCATCCCTTCTGTGTCCGCTGATGAGCAAGAATCAGCCCCTCCCTTTTACTGAGCATTAAATATCAGTATTACAAAAACATTTTCCAGGTGCTAGAGGAATGAACTGCATCATGGCTAGCTGAATAAAGTCAAAGCTTTCCTATCAGGTTTTGAAAAGCAAAAAACCCCACCTTGTGAGAATATTAAAGCACAGTAACTATAGTTAAAACCACTAAGGACAACTCAGATTAAATCAAGTGCTCAGGGAACAAAACTTCCAATTTCAGAAAACAGTTTCTGTATTTTTCTTTGGCTGCAAGTCAAGAAGATAAATAAAAGGCAGATATTAATAGAAAGGGATCCAGATAGTTAAACTCTAGCATTGTTGAGTCACAAGGTTGCATTCTCTGTGGCAGATTAGAAAAATCTAAATGGTGCAGTCCTTCTCATTAGCAACTCCCAGCTTTCAGCAACCAGAAGGTCATCTCAAGTTTTTCTTAACCCTTTGGGAAAATCCTATGCCTCAGTGTGAAAGGTGGAGGGCAGGTGGGGAAAAGACAACTAGCTTGGGAACAAAGGGTATGAAATCACTAAGAGCTGCCATGGAAAGGTCACGAGGCACATTTTGTTTTGTAGCTCTGATCTCAAAATTCCATGTGTCAGCAAGATCAGCCAGCAAGTGGTGGGAACACCTACAGTAAATATTTAAAAACCAAAACAGTTACAGATGAAGAAAGTGCACCTTTACAGGGACTAAGCACGTACAGGGCAAACGGAAGATTTTATATGAATAAAATTGTATTTATTGGCTCAGAACTTCAACAGAAAGTAAAATTTGCATGGATGTTAACATGATTATTTGCATATAATTTTAAGCTAATTATTGATATACAGAAACTTTAATTGAAACACAGCAAACTAAGCATATTCTTTAGTGTTTGTGTTCAGAACTTTTAAAGTAACATGGCCTTTCCAAAATTAGACTATCTCTTCTCTATTGTGAGCCACCACTTCTTTGGTAAGCATAAATTTATAAAATTTATATTCTAGTTAACCCCTGTGCTATCCTAAAGAACTGAGGTTCCACACTTCCATTAGCTTCTGTAAGATTCATTTTCCTACTTAACACCATTAAATAAGAATTGAAAATTCTTTTTATTACTTAACAAGGTTTAAGACAAAGGAAAAGAACAAACCTCAGAGTTCCCTAAAAGGCATGTTCAGTCTATACTGATCACAAAACTGCTTGTAGAAACCTGCAGACCTATCCCAACTATTTGAAACGCACAGAACTTTTACACTGCCTGCAGTAGGTTATGGACCAAACCATTAGGCCCTGAAAGCACATTATCCAAGACTAGGCTGAAGCTACCAAAACTAGTTTCTGCCTAACTTGGGTGCAAGCCATATTCTTTGAATAAAGAGATACTATTTACTTTGCTGTCAGGAACCCTATTCAGGTAGATAAATATTTATGTAGCTGTCCAAAGCACAACTTCTAAGAAAATCTTCTGTAAACAAGTAATGACTCACCTGACCAATGTCTGATTGTGCAGATCCCACACTGCAATGTTCCCATCACTGCAGCATGAAAAACACACCTTGGAATCAGGGCTGATAGCCAGTGCGTAGCAGGCAGGTGCTGAGGATGTCAGCTCTGCTTTTATACGAGGAGTTGGTGCTGCCAGGTCCCATATGGATAATGTGCTGGCTTCCCCGCCAACTATAAGGGTGCATCCATCAGGCAGCAATTTACAAGAGCGGATGTAGTTATCTCTGTTCTGTACAACACAAATCACCTCAGTTATGTTAATACATGCCTGCCAGTAATGACCACTAATATGACTCTAACTACATCAAAGTTTTAAAGAGTTTGCTATTTTTATCATTACCAAAGTACTGAAGAGGAACCAGCAAATTCTAAAAGGTTTCAAACACCTACTTGTCATCACTAATTAGAGACTGCAACTGCAGAAATTAAAACTGCAGACTCCTGTTGCCACAGACTACTCTGTTGCAAACCTGATGAATGGCAAGTTTTCTATTTCATTACATAAAAACAGAGACAAAATAAGCTTGCATTTCTGCAAATGCACTCCATAAGTGAAGGCCACCAATAGTAGAAATATTAAAGCAAATGATCTTTCATTTGGCATTTAGACAACTCTATAGGAAAATATAGTTCAAGTCTCATGCCCTTCAGGTTTTGGAATTTTTCTTTCAAATCCTATTTTGCATTCACTGTATTAAAGATTAAGTATTCCCATACTGGTCTTATGTTTATGTTGGTCCTTTGGTGTTCAACATGATTCTTATCGTACTTATCAATTTCGCGTTTGTGATACTATTGCTGGTTGCGAGGTACTACAGAAGAGTTAGTGACAGAAGACACTTCTACCTTCACTTATTACAAGTTTGCTTGACTGGTAGCAGTTCTTTAGTAAATGGATGGTTAAGATGCATAACTCAAAACAAAGAAAAAAACACTTGAAAAATGTAGTTAATTGCATTCCTACTGCTATTTTTTTTTTCTTAATTCAGTAAGCAGTGCAGTGGAAATGTTGGTTTAATCAGTCATTACTGCTCCGTAACTGAAATTAAGGCTCTGTATCCAGACACATACCTGCCACAGAAAAGAATACCTATTCAATTGCACTGTTACTGCTAGGCAATTAACAAAAGGATAGCAATAAATAAAGGGTAAAGGTGAAAAAATCAAAATCAAACCAAAAAACTCAGCCCATTTACTGAATTATTTTCATTCAGAATACATATTGCTGTGCTTTATGACATTAGGTCTCTTCAATTAACATTTCACAAACACCTACACTGCTTCTGAAGAGAAGAATATTTTAGTGAGCCACAAGTGAACCTTTTTTGAGTTAGCTTTTCAGCTACCTATACTACTGCACCCAGTCCCTTTTGTATCCTGCACATGTGATAACAACCAACCTATATGTATAACTTGTGGATCATGAACAAAAGTATAGACACATTTAAAGTGATCTTGATACCTTATCGCATTATTTCATTGTCGCTGTTACCATCTTACAAAACATGAGATTGTCACTCATCACGCAAGTGAAAGAACTAGGAAGATTCTGAGCAGCCTTGCATAAGCCAAGCTGCATTCCTTTTGAACTTATGCACAAAAATCATCAGCATAATGGGTGGAGGAGGGGGGAAGAGGGAGAAAAAAACATTCTACTCAGAAATCTGATCTGTTATTTGACCCTTAGTGATGATATTTATCCCTAAACAAACCAGCAATATTCTCTGTAACCTGTTTTGTGCTAAAAAAACCCACCAGGAAACAGATCTGCCTACTATTTCCTTGTCATATGAACAAAATCCAGTCAAGGACAGCTATTTCCTTATTGATTCTCTAAGGAGAAGCTACCCATGTGGACAAGTTCCTGTTCACCTACCAGGCAGTCCAGCTGAGAGACAGGGCTCTTGTTGCCAGGCTGGCTGATGTCCCAGACTTTGACGCACCCCTTCCCACCCGTGTACACGTGTCTTGTGGGGTTGCTGATGGTAACTGCACACACAACTTCCCCGTGGTTCAGAGTGTTGATCTGACGGGCATGGCGAGGGATTCCTGGACCGATGAGGGCATCTGGAGGGAAAGGAACTGGTTGCATCTGACCATCTGCAGTAACATGAAAGGAGTAGGCTCTTTTGGGGAAGAGGAAGAAAAGAGAAAACAAAACAAACACAAAAATCAGCCATTACAGTACTATGATGCAAGAAAAACACAATATTTTTCATTTTAATTCTTTGCCAATCATCATTTCATAAAAACCAGAGCTATAGTGCCAAGTAATACAGGCACATGAAACCTCAGAGGGAGATAAGGATTCACAAAAGAATTTTTCAGCTTGCCTCAACGTAAGTGTTTGTGTAGTGGGGAAGCAGGTTAAATTCTACCCTTAAACCTACAGCCCAAGGTCATGGCTGCTATCCCTCAATCACCTGAATAATCAAAAGAACTTTCAGCCCCTGGTTTCTAGCCAGCAGTTTCAAGTCTCTACACCACAAGTCCTACAGCAGCAGTCCCTCACCTGGTGCTACTGTCTCATCCTTCTTCCAGGAGGCTTGCACCTGGTGCCTTGCAGTAGCACTAGCCAAAGATAAGTTGTGCTTGATTTCTGCATCTTAGTTTTAACATCACCACCAGCTGTGCTCACATGCCCCTCTTTCTACCTTGTAACTAGTGCTTTAAGGAGAAAATGGAAACATGTAGAGTGGTTGTTCACACTTTTGCTCAGAAAGCTGATACCATCATATCATAATTGTTTTCCTGAATAAGTATATTGGAAAAGCTGAAAGGCTCAGTTTACCAGATAAGTCTTGGCTCTTCTGAAACACCTTTATTTTTATTCAGTGCATGATTTCAAGCACATGGAAATTGAGGGCTGAGGAAGTGAAATCCCAGCACTGAATAAAAACACTCCTCCTTAGGAGAAGTACCATGAAGAAATTATTTCTTCATGGTCACTCAAATGCTGAGTCAGCTCTACTCAAGGACAAGGGCACAAACACCAACTAATAAAGGTTTCAGGTACAGGGGTTTCTTCATTTGTTTTAAATAATAATGAAAATACTACTGCAAAAGGCTGGTTTTTGTTATACTAGTGAGCTAGCTTTGTAAAAGAGTGAGAAGAGGAGAGATGAAAGAACTGTACAGTTCTTTCATACAAAAGATAACAGTGGAAATGGTCACCCCATGAAATATCACAGTTTTCTCTGAAAGGAAGGGTAAAACCTGGTGAACAGTAACTGGTTTAAGACAGAGAAGAAATTAATAGTGCATATACATGCAATATCTGTACTTCATTTATGTTTCATGGTAGGACATATGAGCGGAAAGACTGCTCAGAGAATACACAGAAACAGAGGATGAGCAAGTGCAAAAGATGGCAGATCTTTTATGTCACAGAAATGTCAGGAATGGGAAATGTAAGGTAAGAAAGTAAGTCTAAAGTTCACTCATGTATACAAGAGTATATCAAACGTATTTTGTCCCACACCACCCTTGCTCTTTTTTGTATGAAAAATTACAGTAATAATAAAGACTTAACTAGAAATTTGTATCCAAGAGAAATAGAGACAAGACTGTCCTGAAGTAGCTATTCACTAAATATCAGATCAGACACAGGATGGGAGACGAAACAGAACAGGAGTGGCAACAAGACTGCTTGAGGCTGAACAACTGCTCAGGTTCATCTATAGAATCCAACTAAAGAGTCATAGCACTTAGGACACTGAAAAGCTGGGCCCCATCCTGGGGTCCAAATCTAAGTCAGTTGCAGAATATTTGTTAGCAGTAAGAGTACACAGAACTACACAACTTTGAAGTCTCAGCCTACCCTTGCTTTTATCATGGACTGAACTAAGACAATTAAGCAAGTATCAGGCAATTCTTCCAGCATGTTCAAGATAATTAATTTACTTGTCCGTGACTTTTTTTTTAATGGAAGGTTATAGCTCAAATGTTCTGTTCAATTCAAAATACCTAAATAATTGGTGTTTTGAAATGCTTAGATGCATACACAGAGATTCTCAGTTCTTGATGACATGGGGTATCAGGAAGACAACAGAACACTTTTCAAGTACACAATTTCGTGTGTACTGCAGAATTGTGATGACTCTCCTGCTCTGAAACATGAGACCTACCCAGTGTATGTTTCATTATGTACAATTTTACCAGTATGCCTGTGTTTAAAGTGTGGCTATACCAGTCATAGAAATAGTCTGTCTTTATCATCATGAGCTGGCATTTGCTTCCAATACTAGTTGATCAGGACCCAGGATGACTGAGTTTGATGGCCCAACAAACAGACAAGTGATAGTTTTGTACAAGGCAAGAGAGATTTTTCTACAATGCAAGTTATCTGCAATTCAGTGTAGAAAGAAATGGCTAGACTTTGCCAAATCCCTCTGCCAAGACAAGCACACAAAAAAGTAAATGCTCCTGTTTGCTTGAAGATATGCGGCATGTAATGCTAACATCACCACTGCCAGCATACTTATGGGTATGGTGGTCTAGTGACTTGTATCTGCTAAGTATTATGGTATAACTTTTTGTTACACATACCTTGTAACTTTGACAACATTTGCATTGTTTGCCAGACTGGCTCTCTCTAGACAAGGAAAGCTTCTGTCTCCAGAAGAACACAGTACTGGTGACAGCAGTGCAAATGACTCTGCAGCTCAATCACTTGTCCTTGGCTTCCTCTGCACAGGTCACCATGGTAAGAGGGCCTACTCTGCTAATTCTGGAAAGGACTGTACTTACAGTGCTACACTAACAGAAAATTTCATTTTTAATGCACGAGACATATTCACAGGCTGAATTCTCAAAATTGACAAGCATTTTCACTGTCCAGCCTCAAAAGCCCAAAAAAAATCCAGCGAATCCTTGAGTTCTCTAAAGCTCAAGATATTTCTTAACAGGTACCAATTGACCACTAGCTTTTTTTAGAACTGACAGGGTCGGTTAGAAAGTGTTGTTCAGCCTCACGACTAGCACAGATTTCTGTCTCACTCCAAGCATTCTGCCTATATGATAGATGGCTATCCAATCATGGATTCCATGAATATCCATCTTTGGCCAAATGACAGTTAGCATTAAGAGATCCCTTCCTTGTATTGGGCTAACAACCACAGCAAACAAAGAAAATTGTCTTATACAAATGCACTTACAATTTAATATAAAACAAGCTAAGTATATATCAACTAATATGTAAATATACACTTGTAATTAAATAAATATTATTAAAAGAACAACTACAAGACAAACTTCTGTGCCTTTTATTTAGAAGAGATCTGAGAAACAGTATACTGTCACTTATACTATTTCTGAATAACAGAAATATTCTTCTCTCTACTTCATCTAAAGACTTTTCTTCATCTGTGTCAAAGCAGCACGGAGAACCCACAGAGTTCCTATACACAGCAATACAACCCAGTTTCTCAGTTTAAACCTCCAATTTCCAAATAAGTATATAGCAAATATCACCTGACATGCTGAGGAGAGTTCAGAATAATTAATTCACTGCTCAAGAACGTAGCAAATAAACTAAACTATCTGCCAGCTACTCCAAGTATTCAAATTGATATAATGCATACAATTCCTGCCTAATTAAAGTGCCATGTCTTAAAAAAAAACAAGAAAACCCCCACAAAAATACACAGAACCTTTTACTTCATTCCTCCAATTCAAATAGAGTTCTTCAGCTAGCACAAAAATACCTCCAACAGCAAAACACAAAAGCAGAAAGTTCCTTCTACTCATGAGTGCATTTTACTTTCAGCTTTTCTTTGCACTTCAGCTCATTTTTAATTCTAGTTACCACAAGGAACAGTCAATATCTGAGTGTGGTGTTTCATCATATAGAATAAAATACCAAACAGTATTTGTACAATGTTCAACTTCATACATGTCATCAAATAATTCTATCCAGAGATATGTGGCAGGGACACACACTGCCCTTGCTCTCTTTCAATACAATAAAATTAGCCTTCCTTTACAATATCTCTCATTGTACATTCACTGAACAAGTGTAAAGACTGGTAGAACTGAAATCAAGCAACTCCAAAACAGCATACTACACCACTCCAAAACTACTAGTCAGCTTATAACTAGACGTTGGAAGAGTTAACATTTACCACATGAAATTTCCCTTTCCTACTAAAATGAGAAACATGCATTTTCAGCTCTTTCTAGTGTCTGGGAAAAAAATACTGAGAAATATATTTATCCTCAATGCTACCACTAAGTCACAATTTAAGACACCAAGGAAGCAATACTGTGGATATAAACCTTAGCACTAATCTTGAAAATCTGTGTTCAGTCCACAATCCAACTATTAGAAGGTATGATTCACATCAACCAGAAAGACTAAAAACCAAATAAGTACCTTGCTAGAAATACCATGGAAAAAAAAAAAGTTACAGTGACACACCACACACCACAAACTTACAGTGCAGTGCATAGTTAGATGCATCAAAACAATGGAGCACAGGACTTAGACACCACATCTATGTCCAAGGGGGTTCTTAACAGGTTAGTAATTTTTCTAACAAGCTAGTCATTAACAGATCTCAGAACACACACGGGTTAAAAAAACCTGTGTTCTAACAGAAATGTCTGTCTTTTAGAAAGAAAGGAATTCAATTTTTCCTCTTGAAAGGAGGACTGGGTGAAAAAAACAGTACCGGTATAACTATTGATAAAAATGTGAAGCCTTGAGCATATGGGTGGGGATTCAGTAGTTCAATTTGAAAAATCTCTTTACCACTTGCAACAAGACCCACTAGAACTCCATATCTCATAAAACAAATTCAATGTGACACCTTGACTGCACTCTAGGAAAAGTCATGCAGTCATGGCTAGGCTTCGCGAATGAAGATTTGGGAAGGGTTCTACCCACGTTTCTTGCAAGCGCGTTGGTGGCTAAAAAGGCCAATACGAGAAAGGCATGTCCGGTTGCAAAAGGCACAGCAGAAAGACTCCTTAGATGGTATATTCTGCAAGGCTCGATTCTTTCTGCGTTGTCTTTTCTCCTCAAGAGTGATCCTGCATGCGTTCTGAAAGGAAGCAGCAGCATTATAGATGGTGTGTCTCCAGACCTCCCGATTGGAGGCCAGAGGAGACCAGTTATGGTGGTCAATATGGCCAAGGCTGAGATGTTGTTTCAAGGAGTCCTTGTATCTTTTCTTCGGAGCTCCTCTCTTGTGGCAGCCGGTGACAAGTTCACCATAAAGCAGGATCTTAGGGAGGCGGTGGTCCTTCATCCTGGAGACGTGCCCTGCCCATCGCAGCTGCGTTCTCAGTAGCATGGCCTCAATACTTGTGATTGCTGCTGTTCAAGAACAGATGTATTGGTCACATAATCTGACCAGTGGATGTTTAGGATTGTACGGAGGCAGCGTTGATGGAAGCGTTCTAGGAGACGCAGGTGCTGGCAGCAGATGACCCATGATTCAGATCCATATAAGAGAGTAGACAGCACAATGGCTCTGTAAACACTGATCTTGGTACTTTTCTTCAAGTGTTTATTATGCCATACTCTTTTATGGAGTTTTCCAAAAGCACTATATGCCTTTGCTAACCTGTTGTCTATCTCCCCATCAATCTTACCATCCAAGGAGATGAGGCTGCCTAGGTAATTAAACTGTTGGACTGATTTGAGCACTGATTGGTCGATGGTGATATGGGGATGATGGTGGACTTCCTGAGGTGCAGGTTGATGGAGGACTTCAGTCTTCTTTAAGCTGACTTCCAGCCCAAAGAGCTCAATGACTTAGAAAATAAACGAGGTGTACTCCACCAGTTTGTATGATTATATCACTCATGTACTCTGTACAGAAAATACAGGAAACAAATCTAACATAGGTGAGATACTCAAAGATGCTGCAGGTAGTAGAAGATATCTAGCTAGCTGCAGCCAATCAAGCCTAAACATGAGATCATTCTAAAGTTGTCAATGGAAAGAGAACAGATGAGTTTATGGAATTTCAGGCTTGACTCACCAAGATAAACAAAGAAGTAATTTTAGAGGAAATGTACAAGTAATAAGACCACAAAAAAGCCCAAACATTCTAGAACACATTAAATCACGTGGACAGCAGGGAGTACGTAGCAAAGTAGGTAATATATGAAACAGTGTGAATAAAGAGCTAAAAACATTAAAAACAAAAAAACCCACACTGTCCCCCTCCCCCAAAAAAGAAAAAAAAACCCCAAACCAAAAAACCAACAAAACTCCACAGACAGTCACTTAACTATGAAATACCAGGATACAAAGTGGAGCAGCAGACATGCACTATCCTTTTGTCTTGAACAGTGTAACAACCAGAACTCGGCTACAGAAAAATAGGGTTTGATAGCTTACAATATAAAATATTTCCAGGTATTAATAATGAAATCTGAAGTCACTGAAAGCTTATGAATACACTTATTTAAAAGTAAAAACTTACAGCCATTGGATTATGCAATCTTCAAAAGCATTTTATGTAAGTATGCCAAATTCCATTAAAGCCAGCAAGGGTGAGTCTGGCACTTAATAAAAGAATGTTTTGAGAACAAAGCCTACTCCTTACTGCATTGAATTTAAAAACACCACCATCTGATATATAACACCAACTCACTGAGCCCTCACCCCAGTATTCTTGTCAACATACCACCAACTTTAAGTAAAACCAAGATTTAATAGGTTTTTCACACTGCCAACAGATTGATAAGCCTGTTCTCAGAAGCATGGTGGGTAACAACAAAAACACATTCAGGATGGCTTTCCAAATAAAGTCTGCTGCTTTCCTACAGTTATAAGAAAAGATCAGAAGAAAATACAGCTTTTTTGCCTGTAATCTGGTGTACTTTTAAAGATGTTTGCAAGATTGACATTAAAACATATCCCTAGTTATTAATAGGAGTTTAAAATGAAAGCAAACAAAAACATGTGAGCATATAACTTCCACCACCGCCTGTCTTGGAACTTAGACAGTATCCTACCAGTAATAATTTCTGAATTTTTCCTGAAACTGCAAAAGGAAAAATTAAACCAAGACCAATTGGTAAATAAGACACTAGAAACATGTAACATGAACATTGAGCACAGAAAGTGCAAAATATGAGTTTCAAAATTATATAAGCACCTGGCTAGAGGAAAACTACTCTAATTGCAACTTCCTGTTGAAAGAGAAGACAGAAATGACCGCCAAACATAAGGGGACAAAGAAGACGTTTTAACAGTGTTGGAAAACCAGTTATAATTCTCTCTGCCTCATTCTCTCCAGATAAACAGCTGAGTCAAATTTGCTCTGGTAGTACCTGCACAGACTACTTGTCCAGAAATACCTAAAAAATAATCACGTATTTTAATAGGGCATACATGCTCATGAGTCTACTGCGGTGGTAGGTTCAGTTTCAATGGTACATCAAAGCCACATTACCTAAAAATTTAGTGTATGCTGGTGAATTTATTTTACTGCAACATCAATAACCCACAGCATTGCAGAAGTATTTTATTTAACAACTGCTTCATCAATAACTAAAACTTTTAAATAAAAAGAACCTGTTGTCAAAGCTATTCTACATCTATGCGCCACCTGTTCCACAACTGCTTCATCATTCTTTTGCTCTCCAGCTGTACATTCATACAAAAGTTCTAAATAGCTTGCTCCATTATGTAAAGTGTGTGTAATCTGTTGCTTAAGTAACTGCTTCAGATACCCATTGCTGTCAGTTGCAGACTCTCTTGCCTAATAAAACAGGTGCCAGACAAGAAAGTCTGCAAGCTTGCACTACACATTTATCCTCAATGTAGTGCATAGTTTCAATATGGTTTTTTTATCTAACACATTTTACCAGCATCTACCAGTTTGTAGTCCCCCTAACCTCCCCCAGAAAGGATGAAATAAAAAAAAACCAAACTTAAAGTATACCTTCAACAACTCCTTCTTGGAAATAGGTATACATACACCTGTTCCGGGATATGACAAGTACCATTTGAGAATCTTTAAGCTTCTTTTACCAGGAGAAGACTAAAATAACCTCTTGAGAACAACCAGACACTATCCCCTTTGAAATTCTTGTTCTGTGACACAATATAATTTTATTCTCTCTAGATATTGTAGATGTTACCAAAATCTTAAAAGTTACTTACGGTTTTCCCCCAGGAATCCCTGCTAGATTTGGAGGGATTCCAGGTACTCTCATGTGAGGAGGAGGATCAAACCCAACCTGACAATGAAAAGTGAATTAATCTCACACTTGCAATTTCTCATTCAGCAAGACTATTTTCTTCATTCCCAAGATATTATGCATTTTACCAAAAGGTGTCTTTTACTCACAGTATTAAATAAGTGCATGACACTTCATTGGGGGGCAAAACCAAGATACTTTTCCTGGGCATGCTTCTGAGAGAAGCATTCATATGCAAAGAGAAAACCAGTAACATACATCATGCATTCACACCACTGAGCATAACACAAGGAGCCCTGTGTTAGTAGGGAATCAAAGTCCTGTGTTAATCCTGGAATTAGAGTCCATGGTATGTCAGCATGAAGCCACCTAGGGCTCTTTACCTCTGGGAGAGCTAGCATGTACCCAAGCTGGCACAGTGAAGTGCTGGAAAGCAGCTCTAGGCCTCAGCTAGGATCTGTGCATGGCTCCACACTGTTCTGTGTGGGCACATCAGCTGAGAGATCTCTCCCATTGTGGCATGTAAACAAATTTTCTACAGCTTAAATAGACTATGCTTTCTTTACATACTGCAATTCCACTACATTTTTATATCCTGAGTAAGTACACACATCAAATAATCCAAGCAGAAATTCTGAATGAAAAATACTTCAATTTTTCTTCTGAATGTTATACCTGAGTAAAAACTGTTATTGCTTTAAAAGGAGGGTGTCTGCTAATTAGAATTTCCACATTTTCACATAAAAGCCCTGTTTACCAGTTTGAAAAAAGTAGTCATACTTCAGTAATGAGATGACAAGCTTAAATCCAATTTTGCAAATTTACAAGTAGGTAAGTTCATCTACACATAAAACTGCCATCAAGCTCATGTTTGCAGAATCAGGCCCCTAGATTATTCCATGTGACAGCAGGTATAACTACTATGCTCCATGTACTTACTACATCCATAACAGCAACTATTCTTAACACACCTTAGCAAAGAGCTCCAAGATAGGTACCGATCAACTTCTTAGGTTGATTTCCACCAAAAAAGAATAAAATACAGGGACAGAGACATAGATAAAAAAAGCTTTTGCATGCTTCAAGATTTATTTGTTATGTCTGTGTGGAACACAAGTGTGGTTCGGCAAAAAAAAGGCACAGCTTAGAGTACTACACGGCTACAATGAAATACTTTGTGGCTAGCAAAACTATCTTTTCATTTACAGCACAAAATAATTTTTTGGCATTACTCATCAGTTAAATCACTGATGAAGATGAATAAAAAAAAGGAAATGCACGTTAATACACAGAGATTCTTTGTTTTCAAGGTGTAAATTTGTTTCTGCAGCCACGCAGCAAAGTGAAACACAGTGAAGCTGTAAAGCCTCTGGTGCTGTTACAACTTGGGAATTTAGCTGTGCTATAGGAAGCATTTTCTCAGTGAACCACAATTCAATGTAATGTAATGGCCAGTCTTCGCGAACGAAGATTTTGGGAAAGGTCTTTTACCTTTCAAGCCTGCGCAATGGATTTTTTAGGTGAGACACAGCTTGCGCTGAACTGAGCCCACCCTTTAATCCTAAGGTTCATTTGCCGGGGCCAAGCAAGTTTGGACAATGCCAGTGAGGTCCTCAGGACGTAGGTTTGTTTAGAGTGACCTTCTCATAGATGGATGGCCTCACAGGGCTAACGAGCTCCATCTGCCCGGGGGACCGGGGAATCGAACCTGGGTCACAGCAGTGAGAGGCCTGCATGCTAACCACTAGGCCACCAGGGGTCCACAATTCACATGACTGAGATTGCATGCAACGTATGGCTTACCATAGGAGATCTTCCATAGGCAACCACAGCAGCTGCAGCAGCAGCAGCACTCATCTGCGGTGACATATTGTGCAGACTGGCATAGGCTGCCCCTGGACTGGTTAACTCCCCATTCATACCAGCATGAGGTACCATTCCAAATGGAGCAGGGTATGGTCCTGGTACTGCCAACGGTGTCCGCAAACCTGGAGCTAGAGAATAATGAAATTAAGTACATTTATTCATATATTCCAGCATACAGAGAAGAAAACAGCCCTTTTCTTCCCCTACAATACCTAACCTTCCCCTCTTACATACACACACTGTCAAGACACATTGCCATAATAATAACCACCAGCTCTTTTTAGTTAATGTAAATAAGATCTACTGAAGTTTGAACTTGCTGATTATTTCTAGCAATCTCCACTAGCATTACCTATTTCCATTCCTGTAATATTCCCCTGTTTACATTAATCTCTTCTTTGACAAATTAAGCAGTAAAGCTGACAGACATGGTTTACACAGCTCATGTCTGAAGCTAACTTTGTGTACCAGCCTGAACAGCAAAAGTAAACTTCCCCCAGCATTTGTCAAGCTGTGCATTGCAGCAAATACTAGTAGACTCAGACAAAGACCATAGAAGGGATTGCGCACAGAACAACTACCAGAAACTTCTGAGAAGTCTTTTTATTTTGCATTCAGTCTCTGGATTATTTGCAAAAAAGATAAAGATGAAAGTAAACAAAGAAGAATAACAGATAGAAACATATTCAAAGTCTTGATAATCCAAACACGTGCTTCTCATCAAGCCCTCTCTTGATATCAAGAATAAAGCAATATATTTAGTTAACAGTTGTAAAGAACTATGTATGTAAAAACTGACTAATTTTGGAACCATAAAAACACATGAGGTAATGCATTACCAGCTTGGTTAACCAGAGGGTCCATTGTTGGAGGTTTGCCAAGGCCTGGACGAAGTCCTGGAGTTGCACTAGTGCCTGGGGTTGGTACATCACCCCGAGGAGTTGGTGTGCTGGATTTCAGAACAGGCGTACTGGCTTTTTCATGCTGGTATCATTAAACAAATTACAACAGTATTATTTTTAATCTAGGCCATATTACACAATTTATCACAACAGGGGCTGGAACGCTGGGCACCTACTACCTAGTCCCTCAGCCAATTTTCATAAATCCACGTAATGCTGACAACATTAACTTGTGAGAGAGAAATGTTGACCTTTTTGATTGCTGCCAAAATTAAAATAAGAAATGTAGAAAGATATCTTTCCTCTTCCACTAACATAAAAAAAAGATGCCTGAGTTAAATTTTTCAGGACAACACCATATGCATTACCAAACTATTTTAGCTTGAAATCCTTAATATCTCAATTGTTATTGGGCATAGCAAATCCAGAGTACAAAAACAAAATACCACCTCAATTGATAGTATCAAAAAAACATGACACAAAAGGTACAGAGAATCTGATCAAATTATTAGTGATACTGCAGGAAAAAGTTTTCAGAGAATAACAGCTTATTTTAGAAGAGTTTAAGAAAAACCTGGAGCACTTCTTAGTGACTATATACAGGCTATGTTAAACCATAAGCTACTGCTCCAGAAAAAAAATAAACAATGCTTAAGCAACCCTTGTATTTTGTAATAAATTTGCAACTCATTTGACAGAAATGTAGCAAATACAAGAAATCAAAACAAAGCAGAAAACTATGAGAAGGGAAGCTGAGTAATACTATAAAGGTCTGGAAAAACAATGGTCGATTTCAGCTTCAAATGTTTAATGCCAGGTACTTTGTGTCAAAAGTAGTTGCAAGAGAACAGAGTTAGATTTTACAAGAAAGAATATTTATCTAGACAACAGACAGCTACCTACCAGACCCATTTCTTTGGATTTGAGGGAAGTGGAACTTCCTGAAGAGGCTGTAGATGCTGGACTGCTTGAGGCATCCTTCTTTAGTAAGCGAGTTTTATCTACACCATTTTCACGGGGTGAATGAGTGGGACTTGCCCTTGGGGAAGAAGGATCCTAAAACAATGGGAAGGGAAGAACATTACAGAACCCTGTCATGCCTTGGTACAAAACACCACTAACAGTCTATGACGAAAAAATCTAGGAGAATTTAAGCAGCAAGTTCAAATAACAAAACACTTTCTTATCTTTATAGAAAAAAAGCTGAAATCCCTTCATCAACTTAAAGACATAAGTAAAATCATATAGCAAGCAATCTGTTTTTATTTTACACTACATGTAATCACAAATTGTTCCTAGCACAGAGCTTGCAATCTAAGTATACCTAAGAAAAACTAAAGCAAGTGCACAAAATGTATCGTAAGCACAAGGGAGACCACAAGTAACTGCAGTAAGTTGATACCGTTTTTCTGGGTACATTCTCTACACTTTGCTGGTGACAAACATTTTGATAATCTCTTTCAGGCAATACAGACCTTGCTAATCTCTACCTTCAGAAGAAGAGAAAGATGCATGCTTTTGCAGATTTCACAGAATATTCTGAGTTGGAAGAGACCCACAAGGATCATCAAGTCCAACCCTTAACTGAATGGCCCGTACGAGGATTTTTTTATGCCACAACATCAGTCACTTTTTTCCTAAACACCAACTGCAATTGCCTTGCTACTTAAATCTACAGGAAAAACTGAAATTACCTCTCAGGTGATTATTTTTCTCTGTTCCAGAAGTACTCTCTGCATTTATTTTAACCTGAAATACCCAGCCCCACAAGCTGAAATGCCATCAGAGCTCTGCAGGTTCTCCATGCTCCTTTGGATCATAAAATTAGCATTAGGGAGGAAGTATACCTCACAAGAGGGCACTAAGTCTACTGACCAATTATTGAGCAGTTTCATTGTAAGCAGGGCTTCTGAAAGGATTACTAAAATCACTAGTTTGATACCTATTTTTCTAGTTGGCTGTAATTTGGGCACTTGGAGCTGCTAAAGATATTCCTCTACCAGCTTCTCTCCCTGTGCTTTTCACAGAGCTGAAGAACCTCACTACCATATTCAGACTTCCAACATCACTTAGCTGTATAAAATAAAAGATGAAGAAAACGGAACACCCATCCCCTCACCTTGATGCCATTGCCAAATCTCTGCCCTGAAGAAAAGAAAGTGTCTAAAATCTCTGGAAGATCTTGTGAATGGACTGACTTCATTCTAAAAAAACGTTTCTGGAAAATGCTGTCTTTAACAGAGGATGTTAAAATACAAACAATTTTAAAGGCAATCTTTTTAATAACAGTCCTACTATTAAATACAACATTAGATGTCTTCCTTTTACATTTGAAGACAGTAGTTTTGAAAACCTCAGCCTTCCACACATAATCTTACCACAACTCTCTACATTACAGAGCAGCTGTGAAGCCTCAAAACATTAACTGCAGAGTGAACAGACCTGGACAAAGCAGCAGAAGGAAAAGCTGAGAAGGTAACCAGACAAAGCTCAGAGGAAGACATAGTAACTGCAGGAAAGCAGATATTGTGAATATTTTAACATATCCACAGAGAGGATTGTTTTTCTTCTAGCATCTAAACCCACTTTTCCTTTAACTGTTGGGCAAACATCAAGACTACAAAAAAGAAAAAAGTTACCTCATTGGATACATCTACAACCAAGTTATCGTCACTCTTGTCCCCATCACTGTCCTATTAAAAATAAATAGTGTTCATTTCAATTAGTACAATAAGAGCCCAGAGAGAAAGATTATGCATCTATTCAGACATTTTTTGTTTTTCCTAAATAAAAAATAACCAGCCTTTCATTAATTTATTAGCAATAGGGAGAACCATGAAAACAGATACACAACACCTTATTTCTGCTTCAATAATAAATCCCAAATAAAGTAGTACTAATTGAAAGATGACGATCTCACCATCAGTTCAAGTTGCAGATAGTCCAAAACTCCTCCTTATTACCATCATAAACAGTGTTACCACTGCTCTTAAAACAGAAAGGCATTCTGTTCATACACTCATGTGTTAATCTTAGAGAAATTACTGCTTGTGCATTCCTAAAGAAGTCTCAGAAAAGGGGAGCTTTTTGGCATGTTTGATGGATCATCCTCCTCCAAGTGATAGGAGCATTTTTCCCCCTTTTCCAGAAGGGTAAGTTTTGAAATGCAAAGTCCTGGGAAAGAAAAAGCTTCAGAAATGCTAAGACATTTCAACATTTCTGCCTAAGAAAACCAAAATACTTGGACATTCCTAAATAGAAATGTTCTATTGCAGCATTTTGACTGTTTCACTTAGATCTGTGATCATCTGAGCTGCTCTAGTGCCGCATGATTTCTGCTACTCAAGTGCCTCCTATCTCCAATATAGGCTGAAATGTCCCAGTAGACACATTCTATGATACACAGTGGTCTAGTGATACACAGAGTGCAATAGGGTGGTTCAATCAGAAAGTGAATCTTGACTCAAAACCAAAGAAAGAAAGAATTCAAGTGAATGTCAAAACTTTAAATTTTTGTGGAGGCAAGTTTGACATTTCTAATAAAAGTACTTCTAGTAAAAAAGTTTCTACGTAAGCAAATCAGACATGTAAGATTGCTCAACTATCCCCCATCTCTTCCTTTCAAAAGAACCCCAAACCAACAGGTAAATTCAACCCTACCCTTCTGTTTTAACAGAATCTTGCTCCAAGAAATACCACAAACATATTAGGGGCCCAAGAGTGCCACTGGAGACAGAATTACTGCTCTATTTGCTACTCAGGCACCTATCCAACTAAAAGATGCAGAAGAAGGAAATGAAAGCTTTAGCTCCAATTATCCAACACCTCTTGAGAAGTATGAAGCACCCAGGGTGCTAGAATAGGTAAGAACACATTCGAGAGTGTGGGAGAACAGTAGATGGGACAGTTGTTCACCAAAAATATCACTCTGAAGGAGGGCAAAATTATCTACCAAGCAACATTTAAGTGAACTCCACTGACTTCATCATCTTGATAAACAGAAATTTACTGGGATAATCAAAGGCATCTCTTAAAAGTGCTATTAATATCAGAAGATTCTCCCAATTAATAAACCCATACATTGAAACTACACAGATCCTAACATGAAAATTAGTCAGAAGTCAAAAAGAGAAAAAAAAATTAATTTTGCATCTTTTTCCAAAAGCAACAATTCCTACAACTCATTTATGTGTTCTTTGACAAAAGCAGTACTTCATTGTCCGTACAAGGGCTTCATATAAAATGAGCTCAAAATCAGCAGATTTTGAAAAACTGCAAAATTAGGGAACCCTCAAAAAAACCCCACTAAAAACATCTTCAAGATTAGAACCTGGAACTTTTAAATTGTTCAATTCTTTATTTTGATGCTGCCTTCTTTTGTAAAATCCATTTCAAACAAGCAGCAGGCAGAAACACATTTAAAATTTGGATTAAAAAAAACTACTTCTACAGCACAGTAATATCCTCTCCCTCTGCTTCCACTAGAAATACATGAAAAACATGTATTTTCTTCCTTTTCTTTTTATATCAAATGTAGCTTAAGAACAGTTAATCTTCAAATATTTAAAATGAAAAATGCCAATAGAATATCGAACCCTCAAAGTTGAGGGAGTAAAATGGGGCAGTTTGCCAAACCCATCTGTAATCAAAACAGTATTATTAGAAAGTGGTGCAAATACAACTTGCAAGATTGTAACAGCACTAACATACCCAATAGCTGTTCAAAGATATTCTCCAAGTGGAGAGAAATTACCAAATACTGAGGAAATAAAGTTTCTAATTTTCTCTTGGGTTTCACTAGTAAGAAGTAGCTATCAAAGTACAGTATGTTCTGTTAGATTTAAGTTCTGCTTTTCAGAACTCTCTCACACCAGTCCTAGTCTCTTAAACCTGTTCAAGTATCATCCTGTGATTTGGCTCAACTTTAGACTTGAAATTGAAAACCTATGTGAACCTTCTGACGCTCACATATCTTACACTGTTGTACTGAAGTGCCTCTTTGAAATTAAAAGTTCGCAGTTTTGTGTTCTGTATTTTTGACTAGCTTGCTTGTTGCTTGGTTTCAATTTGCTTTCTGCTGAAACTACCATATCAGTCAAAAGCAAACTTTAGTAACTTGGTAGAGCAATTTGCAATGGTAATCATTACTCAATGTGGTAATAGCTAGTTACTAGAAAAATTTACTAAAACCCCCTCAAATGCAAAATCCTCCATTTCAAACAAATCTTCAGGTTTTAGAGCGGTTCAGAAAGGATGTCACAAACTCTAAGAAAAGTTTCAAAACACTTGTGAATCCCAAACAACTACTCCTGGCTCAGTTTTCCCTGTTGAGGAGTATTACTTAACAATATCACAAACTACTGAGTCTACTCTTCCCACAATACAAATAATATCTCTCTGGCACATATATTCACGTACTACTTCTGCCATAAGAAACACATTTCCACACTTCCTTGTTCTTCACAGCTCTTTTACAAGCACAGTATATGCAAATAAATTAATCATTTGTTTGACACAGATTTGCTTACATAGTGGCTGGAATCCTTATCATCCACCTTTCTCTTTTTGATGTCATTGGCGTATTCAGGCCCATTCCTGCGTTTATCTGTGCTTCGTAGACTGTCAGGGACCAACAGAGAATTACTCTGTGAAGACAAAAAACAAGATCAATTAAAAATTCCTTTTAAGATTCCTTCACATATGCTTAAAAACTCAAACTGAATGTGATAGATGCTTTAGAAATGTGATACCCACTTAAGTCTTTCATTCAATTTAATTCAAATCAAAGTCCTCCAGGCAAACATACAGACCTTCACGCATTTTAAGAAGCTTGGATTTTCATTGTTCAACTTATCAAAAGTTTAGTTCACTTGTCAGTCATCACCTAGTTAACTAATTAATTCAACTGAATTTATTGTTTAGGAGAAGTGGGCCTGCTGTTTATTCATGAGCAAGTAAGAATGATTTCATAATTTTTAATATTCAGATTCCATTTAATAAAGGATATTACTAAATATAATCTGATTGACTCACTTCTAGACTATCATAAATTGATGAGGCTTTGGTATTTCTACACCTGCAGGTACAGACAATAAATGGCATCTTGTCTTTAATGCTTAAAATAACAAACATTTGCTGAATAAGGTTATGCAGTAATCAATTATTAGCTGTGGTGAACTCCAATTGGATTCCTTCAACAAATGTATTGCAAACAAAGATCAAATATTTTTACTTCCAGCATAACATTCACTACTACTGTGAAATTAAGGCTAAAGTGTTGTTTAATCAGAGTTGATCTGAAAAACTGAGGCCAACACACACACAAAAGACAAAGCAAGGACTAATCTTTTCCTCAAACTACATGGACTGCTTTCTTTCATGCTAAGTTATGCTAAGTACAAACTGTTGACCCAAAGAGCATTTTAGACATTTTTCAGTCACATGACAATTTGACATGCCTTCATTCCCATCTCCATCTCTGTTCCAGCTAAAGCATTAAAACGTGTTACAATGAGTTCTTTTAAGTGCAGGATTAGCATATGCAAGAGGGCAATTTGTTCACTGATGTGTTAATGCTGTGAACAATACTGAATGAGTTGAGAAAAAAATCTCCTTTCACAAAGACCTGGTAAGCCTAGATCCTAAAAGCCAAGTACATGCTTAGATAAATAAAGATATGCTCACATAAATATATAAGTAAATAAGCATTTACACGCACACATGTAACTCTCTCAGGAGAAAAGCCTAATGCCGATATATACTTCGGTATAGTATATCCTGATACACTACACATCGATATATAGATAAGCCCTCAAAGGAAATATTAAGATCTACCCAAGAGTCAGAGATATTTACCCTTAATATAGCATAAACATATACTAATTGCCAGTGAACTGTGCACTGAATAGCTTCCCCTTTAAAATCTGAAGACATCAGGGTAGTTTCATGCAGACACAAATGTTTAGCCCCAAGGAGAAGGAAATTGAAACAGGGTACAAGGCAATCTGAATCCTCTTTTTCTAATTCAGAAGCTGAACTTTAATGCCAACTCTAAGCTCTTTTATTCATGACTATTCAACCTAAACAAATGCCAAAGGGCTTACATAAAGCATATAGGAGAGTCTGTTGAAATTCAGTATCAAGAAGCTCAAAATAATGTCTTTACAAATTGTTTTGCAGCTAAAAGGTGGGCTTGTTTGATCATTGCACTAATTGCCTTGACAAATACAGTTGGAATTTAACCCCATATCTCCTCCCAGGTGCACACGAACTCAGGGATTCACTACTTTGAAAAACTTTAAAACCCATTTTCAATCTTATAATATTGAATCCATCATGTTTATAGCAGTAGAAACACCTTAAGAAGCAATCTGTCCATTCAAACGTGACCAGAGATGTTTTTTCTCTTAAGGAGAAAAGTCCGTTAGTTAAGGATACTTTCCCTAACAAAAATAATTGAATATACCTATTTTACTACTGAGGAGTTTAGAATAAACGTTCAAGAGCCATGTAGTAAAGTGAATAAACTCAGCTCCTCGCTTTAATTTGCCAAAATAAGGTGTGAATAGCAGAAAGGTAGCAAAGCTGGGAAAAATTTAGCTGCCTATTTGGGAGTTATGGCTTGCAAATTTTGACAACCAATATGTGTAACTACAATGGCTATTTTTTTTTTCTGTTTTATTGTAAAGTCTACCTAGAAAATACTGACAATATTTTGTACTGTTCATCTTGTAGAAGTTCAAAATTGTGAAACATACCTAGGAACTCCCAGCTCCCACTGTGTCCTAAACGCAAAGATTATTAAATTTGAGTTTTCTTCAAAAGACTGATGGCATCTCACATGAACATGTAATTATATCACAAGCCTATTTAGCAAAACATATCCCCTATGGTCATAATTACACTGCCTTTCTATAACTTACTACATTAATTTAAAGCACTGTTCTCTGTAATCAGAGCATCCATGCTAGAAGCTGTTGTAGAGCAGCTTCTTTCACAATAGCTATACTTGAAATTGCAAATATGATTGTGCTGTTGTTCTGAAAAAATTTACCAGTAAAATCAAAAATTAAAAAGTTCCTGTTTTGTTTCCCATAGGAATTCAAGGAAGTTCTAACAACTGTGACTAAAATCAGGTAGAGTATAACACTGGATGAAAAAATAGCTTGCTAATGTAACCTATTACCATTATTCAAATCTCCAACTACGCAACATTTCATTCAACAATGTGAAAATATTAATCTTTTTAAGTAGCGCATATGGTAGATCCAGAACACTGAGGAAAGGAAGTGAATGAAAACACAATTAAGAACTGAGAAAGAGATGATCATACAAACCTTGGGCTATTGATATCTCTTACTTGTGTAATGATACAGTTCAGGGAACAGTATACTAAAAGCCACATTTCTTCACTTCAGCTCTGGTAGACATTATATTTGCTGTATGTCCACTATCAAACATAGGGCCAGCCAGAAGACAGCAGCAATATTAGAGTCTCCTTATCTTCTCTTTAAAAAATAATAATCTGTTAAGTTCTTCTACCAGGTCTACTAACAACTAACTTTGATTTTCAAAAGTAGGAGAAGAATTTTTATTTTGGCTATAATGGGCTTTTTTGAATACCACTACAGAAATTTTCAGTTGGGACTGATCTTGAGTAAAAATCAGTTTGTACAAAAAGGGTAAAAAAATACATACATAGTTAATTTCCTAAAGAGAAACTGCATGGCACCAGTTTTGTCTTGTCTTAATTTCAACCAAGTAGATGCATAACTGAGAACAATCCTTGCTTTCATACTAGAAATTTGATTTATTAGGGATTATCAATGCAACATCTGCAAATCGTAAACCTCAGATCAGAACAAGTGGTCAAAAATAGTTTTAGGTATTTTCCTTTTTTTCTGATAATTCACTTTATACACATGAAGCCCTCCTTTTCAAGTAAGTCCTGAAAGAAGAAAAGAAGTTTAATGTAGCACTGCTTCCTGTCAGTTACCAGACTCCATAAGGGACACACATAACAGGGAACTTTTGATTCTAAAACAACTCTGCTGCCAGCAGACGTTAAACACTAAACTACCAGCAGGCAAATGTGAAGCAAAAACCTTGCCATGATGCACAGAGAGAAGGCAGGTTTCCTATCAGCAATATAATGCACATTATTCAGAATGCACTTCTTTGACTGCCACACTGTTCCCCATTGGAACCATTTCCAAACCACAAGTGTATGTGTCAGAAGTACAGGTTGAGAGCCCATAGTAACTCATTTAGCCCAGTTATAATACAGCACAGACAATTCACTACTACATACAGAACTGACAATTTACTTTATGCTGATCATTGCAGACATTAAATTACGATATTTGCACTACATTTCTGCGCGTGACTCAACTGCATCTGGTCCCAGTTACGATCTTCTTTTGTGCTGGCTCAACTCTCACAATCCTTTCCCCCAAAGACATGCACAGACACAGGCTTGCTCTGTGTTTGGTCATTCCATGACCCGCTACACATCCAAGCCAATGGCAGCCACCTGCCATCACAGCCAGTTACTCAGGTGACAATTTGGGCTTGCCCATATTGCTGAGAAAAGCCTCTGCATTTATTTAACCATTGCAATGGATCTCTGCTGCTGCCACCTACAGAAGTGCTATCTACTGATATGTATATATAGACAGTAACAGGTAAAATCCCGTGCTGAGTAGGGAAAACAGGACCAAGTCTAACACCTACACCCAAAATGTCAGTTGCTTATTGCCAGGACTCACTGATAAGAATAGAGTAGATGGTGGAAAATGGACTTAACTAGTCCCAGCAAGGCACAAGAAGATTATGCTCAAAGTTATTCTACTCCAGAATCATTTACTTTGATTTGTTGAATATGCTTATAGCAAACACACATGTCAACAATTCAAAAGTTGACTTATAAAGTTAGGAGGTTTTGTTGTAAATTAGTGGTGATGGAAAGCTACTGACTTCACCTTCTTTTTGACCACCATTTTAAGTCATATTTAGACTAATATGTTCATATTAGGAACAATGAATTTTAGAAGCCTAAACTGATTTGAGTCACTCTCCACATTGATTTTACAATCGGAAGATGGTAACAGGGAGTAAGATTTCTGTTGATTTCAGTATTTTCTCACTAATATTTGTTAGAATCAGGGCATCCAAAAAATTTACATCAAACACCCCCAAATCCCTCGGTCCTTTGTCATGAGACTCATGCTGCTTTTCAATCAGTTACAAATTAAGCTGCAACACAGCAACCCATAGCTCTTATCAACCTCTGTTGAAGTTAATCTGTGGTTTGGATCTATACTTTCTTCACAAAGGCCAAGAAGCATACTTGCGCTATGCTATGAGTAACCTACATTTCCATATAGCAACTTTTATGGTTTTCCTCCCCCATTTAAAAGAAATAAAACACAAAACAGCTTGCACATAATATCATCCAAAAAGTAGTATTCAATTTTTTATGTCCCTGTTCTCCAGGACTGGGAGAGGAAGAACAGGACAGAGAGCTTAGTGCACAGAATATTTTTCTACTCTAAGAAAAGAGTAGAAAAGAGTTTTGCTTTACAAAACAATAGCAACAATGATCAATAGTGAGGGCAAAAGAAGGTCTTGAAAAATTTATGAATACTTCCTAAGTCTTAGAAAACAAGTTCAAAGTTTTCCATGAGAGGAAAAGATAAGCACAAACTTCATATAAATCCCAAGCACACAATGAGATAAGATTTCACTGTCTACAAATTATTACTGATAAAACTGATTGTATCGGAACATTTGCATTTCTATGCTGTCCAAAAGGATACTAAACCAGTGGGAAGATAAGGGATAAATGAACACCTATGATGAGTTTGGAAAATATTGCCAGTATGTTCCCTAAAGAAAAAGATGTGGACATCAAAATTCTTTTGTATTGATGTCTCTCAAAACTTCAAGCTTCAGTTGCAAAAATTGCTTACTTTGCCTGGCTTCGTTACCTGCGGCCAGACAAGAAGACTTAAAAAAATAACCCCAAATCTAATTTAAAAATTAATATGTTCAAATATGCCACAATATGCTTCAACTCAAATTTATGTCACAAAACCTCAATTTAAAAACAAGTAGGTGTGTGCTAAATTGCAATTTTTCAAACTTGTGCATTTAAAGCTGTCAGCTTCTACTGATGGTACTCGAACATCACGTTAGACGGATCTGATAGAAATCACACTGTAAAACTGCACAGTAATAGCAAATATCATGGTAAATTTCAGTAACTTACAAACAGCATGGGTTTTGGTGTCTTGGATGATGAAAGTATGCCTTTGTCAGGATTTCTGGCAGCACCATTACTCTTACAATGTTACTCTGTAAATCAAATTGGTTTTATCTTGATGACCCAGGTGTTATAAAGTGATTTGAAACATAAAAGCCTACTGCTAGCTTGAACCACGCGTAATAACCAAACAGACCTGCTGGTATGTCTTGTGTACTTGAGCCCAATGTCATATCATCCTTAAAAATATATTTCAAAAAGAAATCAATTAAAAATACAAGAGAATTAGAGAAGTTTGAAGATCAAATAATTCCCAGCTCATCATTTTAGCCACAGACTTGAACTTAACCATCTTTTAAATTATGATTCTTTCATTGAAGATATCATTCATTGTTAAGCCAAGATTTTAATGTAATATTGTATTTAAACAATTTTAAGTTCAAGTTCACCTGTATTCAGCTATTAAGGTTTAATTTAGTTATGAAGTACTATCCTCCACTGAGACAAAAAAGAAACTAGGATGACCTAGTATTCTGAACTCAATATATGAACATGGCAAAATTCCTGTATGAAATAAAGTCTCAAATTGTTTAAAGGTTACTTAGTGGTAAACTCAGCATAAAACCAGCCTACTTCAGATAATAACCAAGCAATCATGAGTTACACATATGGAGACAGAAGTAACTACAGTGACAAATTTACATAGTTTAATTAAATAAAATTTACGTCTATAGTGAATTAAGCAACTCCCTCACAAACGAAAGCCAGATTAAATTTTTGACAGTTTTCCTTCTACATGCAAGAACCATTCTCAGCTGTAAGATGAATTCAGAGTCCAAATTTCACAACACTGAAACATCTGATTTTAAACTCAAAAAGCAAATTACATGATGGACATGACAGGAAACAGGGTAAGCACAGGAAATGCAACAACCAAATCAAAACACAAAGCCATCACTACCACGTGCATATGTATGTGCACAGACACACACTGCAACATCCTTAGCTCCTAACAATAGTTAATGAGATTCCTGCAGTCAACTAACCCAATTCAAAGAAGTATGCCCCACACAGAGGAATATGTCCTTAATAAGTCTGAGACTTCATAAAAACCCAGTTAAAATTATTTCTGGGGTTATGCTGTCTTTAATAACATCAAGCAAGCTGAAATGAACGCTTCTTGCTTAGTAATCTAAAAACAAAAGACTGCCACAAAGGAAAACAAAACAGACAAAAAGTGCAACATCTGATTATTACATTCCTAGATGTGGAAACATTAGCATGAATGTTGGTACTTACTGTGCCTGGCTCTCTATCTGCTCCCGCAGTAACCAAGAAATGGACAGACATGCCCGTTCAGACAGAGGCAAGAACAGAAATAAAAAAGGGGGAAAAAAATTAGAACACAAGCCGCAAACAGTTTTAAAATGGCTTTTATTTATATAAGTCATTGCACATTCCTAATACAGTGATTTACTGAAAATTACAGTATTTTGTAAACATGATTTACAGTTTAACCATACACAAAGCCTAGTTTTATTTCATGACAGAATAAATTATTTTCTTTTCAAAAATTAGTCAAGAGTGCAATTTTGCCCAATATTTAACTGAATACTAGAATTTACGCCTATGAAACTAAAGTAACAGATGCAATTATCTAAGTATTTAGTTTGAATACATTCACTTCAAAATTTAACTTCTTGTTCCCCTTACCTTCCCACCCACACATTATTTTCCTTGAAAAAATTGCCCACTATGCTGTTTAACAGTTTTTCACAATATGGTGCAGGCCACTGCTATTACAACCAAGCATTTACCAGGATGTCAAAATGCCCTGCAAAGTATAGAGCAGGTGAGCAGGTGACCCCTAGTGATCCCCTTTTAAAATACTGAAAAATTCCAAGCTGAATTTTGCTTCAGTGGTATATATGTACACATTTTAAAGTTTGCCAACAGTTTTTTCTCATTCTATATAACTTGAATTCTTTAGAGATGCTCATAATTTGCAGCAATGTGCAAATCTGACAATGTCCTAATCAGGCCTGCCATGCCTCTCACCTCTGTGGTGGTCTGCATCATGATGCTTCTTGTCATCTTTTATTGCCAAGTGAGACTGCCCACCCAAAGCACTAGAAAGGGCAAGAAGGCCAGCACTGCTTCCAAGTGGAGGGATTCCTGGAGGCTGAAGTCCGGATGGATGCGGCGTTAGAGGCACTGGAGGTCCATGGCCATGGGAGAGATGCTGAGCCTGCAACTGCTGCTGCTGTTCCCAGTGGTATCATCATCCCCAGAAGAATAACGTATAGCACATAGTTTGGGAAGGATAAGGTAGAAGTTTGGTTAATTATTGAGAATCAATAATAGATTTTGATATTTATTCGTTTTTTTCTTAATCTAGCCTCTTCCCTCTGTCCCACCACATTATATATACTGCATTACATCATGCTGTCTGTGGATAACTGTTCACATCCCATTACCCAAGAAGGTTAGCAGGGTACGTATTTAGCAGCCTGAGGAATAAGTTCAACTACTGTGGGTTGTTTTAGGCAGCTACTGCCTGCCACACTGTCACTGGTAACAAAGAGTAGCAGCAGAAGGCCCAAATATTTTTCCCTGTCAATAGAAAGGCATATCACTGCTCTGGAAAATAACAAAAAAAGTTTCACTGGCAACATTGATTCAAACTCACACCCTTCTCTTCCTGCAATTTGGAAACAGCAAGTATGTTTCTATTTTGAATACTAAAAAGTATAAAAGATACTGCTTAACTTCATATTTAGTGAAGTTAAATTTGCATTTTATTCTAGCCAAGGTTTTCGGGGGAAAGTGTGTGGGGGAATTATTCATGACCTAACATTGTGTTTAGGAACCAGCTTTGAGCTCAAAATCCAGGTATTCCAGATAGCATCAATGAAGTCATGGAATTCTCAACAAGAAACATGGTATTAATGAATTAAAATACCTCCATCTGTTTCAAAAGCACCTCGCAAGATCAGTATCATAATGAAAGGACATACAATCCTATAATCAATCTGGCAAAATAACCTGTAAGCAATTTTAGAAACAGAGTTCTTATAATAGAATGTCTTCCACATAGTTCAAATATTAATATATTTTCCAGTTAAAACCGTTACAGTTTTATTAATGTTTTCCAAGTTCAGCTATTTGTCCAAAATGCTCAGCACAATTTTTTTTTTAGAAAATGAAGCTTCAAAACCATCCTTAGCTTAGTCATAGCTCCTGTTTACTCTGCTACAGGTAAACAGATTTTCTGCCTCTTTCCTGTTTCCTTGTGTCTTGGCATATGAACAGAAGACAGGACAAACCTCTACAACTTGGCCACTCTCCACTATCCCTCTGCTGAAGGCAAACACCAGGAAAAAGCTAGATCCCACACAATTTATGGGATCAAAAAGAAGATAAATAAACACGTCTGAACAGGATGAACTCAGCTAGACATCAAGTTTGACCAGGTAAATGCAAGTGATCCTGTAAAAGCCAGCAAAATTGTTACAGTACTGCTGACAGCTACCGACAGCACACCTAGACTACAGCTCACAATATTTCACAAGTTACCACAAAAAACCTCAACTCAAAATATTGTAGAAATATTTTATCTGCTTCTATATGTGCGAAGACTCTTCAAGACCAACTGTCAACAATACCTGCACAACATCTACTGGCATAAGAATGAACTTATTTATTACTATTTAGATAACTACTGCACTCCTACACTTTTACTCATGACCCTATCCCAAGACATGCCTCGGGCTGCTTGTAAACTTATGAAGACACAGGGGCTGACATTCAAGAACTATGGACTGGACCTGCTTATCTTTCACTCTTCTGCTGTCCCAACTGTCATGTAGCCATTATTTACTTATTTTGATATATAAGACAAATCTTAAAATTTACCACAATCTGTTTAGTCAATTTTATAAAGCCACATGTTTAGCAAATCTCTCACACACCATGTATCAGAAATTTATTTTCAAGGGCCGCATAAAAATCCTTGCTAGTGTTCACTGCAATACACACATTTGACCACCACTCTTGACAGCTTTTTAGTATGTTTAAAAAAAAAAAAGGTAAAAGAGAGGTAGTTCTTATTCTTCTATTTTAATGTGTTTACAATGACCCAAAAATAACATTTTGAAGGAATTTTTGAGACTTATATTTGTTTTAAGCAGTTAACACAGTAGACCTTTAACAATATCAAGCAGCTATTGCTAATGAAGTTTCCCTTAACTGAAGAGCTATCAGTAAAAAGCACTGTAAAGTCTGACAGGACTGCAGGGGTTTGGGTTTTTCGTTTTGTTTTTCTGATCCAGCATCTAAAGAACAAGAAGACATCCCTCTTCTCACAGACGTATCAAGACTTTAGTAGTTTCTAGCACATTTCCTCAATAACCTGATAACCTGATGTTTTGGCAGGCTCTCTCAGAGATGGTATATCTTACTCATCCCTTTTCTCATTGTCCTCTTCAACTAGGTCAGTCATCCGCACTCTAGCTATGAGACAACATGAATCAGCAGTGCTGTGCAGCATTGATGGCACTGGTCTTACTTGTCCCCAGCTGCACTAACACCCTGGATTACCTAGCTGTAGCATGCAATTGCCTGAAAATAAAAAGTCATTTATTCCTTCAAATTGGTTTTGTGGAGAAAAGCTCTTCCCTTCTCCAACAGTGAGCTCAAATTAGCTTCTCTTGCAGTGTGAGCACGGGAAGGTTGAAACACAGAAAAGAAGTTAAATTGCTTCCATTCTTGTTCCTACTGTTCAGGAAATGTATGAAGATTCCCCTTAGCCATGCATCTCTTACTTGGTTCAATTAGCAAACAAGTCACTCCACCTGATTTCACAAAGCATAAGTTAACAGTTTAAGAAATACTTACAGGCATGTTACCTATAATTTCGCTGGCTCTGCTTAGTAGCCTACACACCCCACATTTTGAAAGTCCAAAAAATGAGGAACAGATTAATCCCCTGTAAGACGTTTTCAAGCTGAAAGCACATATTGAGGAGGGCTGTCCTGTGTTTTCTGACAGTACTGTACAGGGACAATGGAGAGCACTGTCCAGTGTAAGGCATAGAACAGAGTATGAGAGCTGCAAGTGCATTGCAAAGCTGCTCTGCGCACCTTTGTAGCTCTGCAAATGGTTACTTAGGGACAATGGTACACAAAGATCCTCAAGTATGGCACTAAATTAAACTGACTTAAGATTGAAATTCTGATCATGGTCTTCTAAGCCATCAAAGCTATATTAGCTATATTAGGACTTCATGTTTATTATCTGAGGTGCTGTTTAAGACTTTAGTATATTGATTTGCTGCTTATATATTACCTATTATAACAGGTTTAAAGTTCTTCCTAACACATAAAGATGATCCTTTCCAGAAGTTCATACTCTTTTTATTTAGAAAACTTGAATTCTTAAAAGTATATTGTATTCTCTTTCTAGAAGGAGTAAAAGGAATATGTGCTGCACACAAAGGAAGAAACTAAAGACCAGGGAGATGGCTAACAGCAGCATTCACCAGATATATTTAGTAACCAAACATTTGCCATAGTAGATCCTAGAAACAATTATGTTATGCGTATATTCACTTTCCCATCACTTCAAAGACACTAATGCCTGCTCTGTAACCCTTTAAGAGCTAAGCAGCAATGAGACATAAAATGGAGTAAGTTGGCAGCAGTATCATGGTCTACTAGGCATGTTCATTATCAGTTAATTAAAAACTAGACATCTGCCATAAGAAATGTGCTCAAAAAAGAATGAGTAACAGGTCTGTCTTACTACCAATTATTATCATTACTTGCAGAGCAAGGGCTGTGTCCACTTTCAGAGGGAAGTAGGAAGGTAGAGAAGAGTGCAATGATGCATACTTAAGTGACTGCACTGAGATAATTAGCCACAGCAGTGATTTTAAAAACATCAAGAGTTCACCCACCATGTTGCTGCAAAGGTAAAAGTTCTTCGTATTTGCAAAGGGAGCAAAGGAATTACAAACTTATATTAGTATACTGTCTAGATGTAGATTTTATTGCCTCAGATTTTTTTTCCAGTATCCCCGTAACCAAACCATAAAGACCCAAAAATCAACATCTAAAATCCACAGCATTTGCTTCTCTGAGCAAGCACCTCTTAACAATTTCAAAGATAGTACAACTTTTCACCTCTAACATTCTAGGCAAAGTCCAGCTATAAAGAGATCTTTAATCAGGACTTAAAATTTGGAATTATGTTTTCAGTCTCTGGCAAAGACTTGCAGAGATATGAGTTAGTATCTCTTTATGAAACACAGTTCCTATAATTAAACAATGACAGGTCTCCTTTAGGTTCCTTGCTTCTCAAGATAGTGCACAAGTTCCTACAATCCCACTCCCCACGTTAAAGTAGTTCTGTTGAGGTCACAAACACCTAATTTTACTTAAACACCTTTTTTACTTAAAAAGACGGTTTTGAAATCCTATCATTTAACAGTTAGACCATTGTTCTGTTCTTGTACAGATGTGTAATGTACTATTCAGTATCTGTTGAAAAGCACTGAATCAAAAATTCAGACGTGATTGCAAATGAACAGTGGAAAAAACATTATGCATAGTCCCAAACTACAATAGCTGTCTTCTCTTGCATCCTTTTAAATAAACACCTCAGAGAAGAAAAAGTTTCCAAAATCTTATCAGCACTAGCACCAGTAATACTATCAACAGATTTCCCCAACCTCCATATATGTGTTCTGGAAAAATATCTGGCAAGTGCAGAAGCCATTCAGAGACCCAAAATGTAAAAGACACTATTTCATGTCACCTATTGTAAAATTGAAGAAATGTGATTTCATGAAACTCAAGCAGGTGGAAAGACGAGAGTAAAACATGCATGTGTTCAGTTTCATTGCCATATTCTCTTCCTTCCCAAAGGGAAATCTTCAGGGTTTTAATTTGCCTGCTTAAATAGCAGAAGTAAGTGAGGGCCACTCTCTAGCACACACAGGTAGTTGATCAAGGAATAACCTTTTCCCTCACTATTTAGAAATATTCTTAAAACCAACATTGCAAACATAACCTTCCAAAAAAGGAAATAATCCAACATTATGCTTCTGTTGCATCCAGTTTTCTGCCTCATCCTAAAAAAACAAAAACACTGCACACACAACCCACACTACTAACAGTCAAATATGGTAAGAGGAAACTCATTAAACAGTCTAAGCCATTAATTAATACTTGCATTTAAATTTCTGTACATACTTTCCAAAGA